CAGGGCCCCCCCCGCCTCAAAATAGCGCCGGGGCGCCCCCCCGTCCCCCCCGCCGGCCCCAAGGGACTGCGAGGGACCGCGGGCTCCGCACCCTCTCCCCGCTGCCAAGCCGGGGGCCGGCCGGTCCCGGAGAGCCGGGTGCTGGTCTCCAGGCAGCCACTGCAAACCAATAAATACTCACACAGGAGTGGGGCTGGTTCGTTTTAGTGTCGTTTCATCCCGCACCGCTCCCCGCAGGCAGGAGGGAGCAGGATGCGGCCAGGGCTGAGGAGGGGGGGGCTCCGGCTCCCCGTCACCAAGGTAAGAGGCCAGGGAGGAATTGGCTCTGGAAAAAGAAAATCCCAATTACCGAGGGAGGGAGCGCGGCAGCGAGAAACCGGCTCCCCGGCGATGCGCTTGGCTCCTTCCCACACTACCGGGAGCACCGGCCGCTCACCGCATCTCCTCCTGCCGATGCAACAACGCGGGGCCATGCGGGGCCGGTGTCCCAGCCCTGCGGGCAGCCCCCGGCTCTGCCGGAGCCCTGCGCCATCCCTGGAGCTGCCAGGAGCCGGGCAGAGCCGCACCGACGCACGGAGAGGAGGATGGCCGTGCTCTGCTCCTGCTCCTCGAGGTGAGCACATGTACGGGGCAGGAGGATGCTATTTTTAGGTCCTACCTGGAGGCAGAGCCAGGGCAGCGAGCACCGGGGTCTGCTCCACACTCCCTCCCTCCGGCAGTGCCATCGTTCCCCGCTAAACTCCCGGCTCAGTGCACGAATTGTGCCAGGAAAAGGAAAATCCAAATCAACGGCAAGCGGAGCTGGGATGGTGAGGTGGCGTGTGCGGGGCTGGCAGCTCCGGCCGCGCTTCCCGCGCTCTCCCTCGCAGACAGGAATTGGCCTCATCGGGCAAAACTGAAACAGGATCGTCTGCTATAAATACCACTAATCCTCCGTGCTGGGGGGGGGGCGAAGGGGGGAGTGTGGCGCAGATGGGGGCCGGTGGCACGCAGCGCTGGGAATGAATTTAAATCCCAGCACTTCACCTGGTCAGAGAAATCCCGGGCTGTTCCAGCTGCCGCTCCTGGACCGCCTCCTCTCAGGG